TTCACTTGTTGAAGATGTTGTTCAATCTTCCTTTGAGATATCGTCTGTGTTGTTTTCTTTTATTAAGCAAGAATTATCGCTAGATTAGATTTTCAATCATAACAAAAACAGTTTTCTTTAGCTTCCAGACATGTACTTATATAGAGTATGGCATCCCAGTATATAGAAATGTCCTCTCCTCGTGATATTATAACGTCAGATTATATTATGCAAGTTAAAGTTTTCTAAGCATGACCTACACGACATTATCAGAAAATAAGAGCGTTGATAATATTAAATTTAAAATTTAAATTTAAAGCCAAAATTTCCAAAATTCAATAAAACTTATTATTATGTTAAGATTATTGTGTACTTAAAAATGATACAAAAAGGCGCTCATGTCATTTTTTTCAAGTATGTTTTAGAGATGTCTCCGTAGAACATTAGATCTGCCATCAGGCTGTCAACAGCTAGTATCGGGTTAAAAACACAGCTACTCTTTGGCTAAAAAATGCATTTCTGCGACATTTTATGCATAAAGTATATATTTGTTTCAAATCATATGACTTGAAAGAATATTTTGTTGACAGCCTGATATGGCAGATCTGTGAAAAACGATTAAAAAGGACGCTAATCAGGTATTTTAGCAACAAAAAAAAAAAAGAAAAAAAAAAAGATAAATAAAATAATAATTCCAGTCAATTTAAATTTTTTTTTTGAAATACAGCAAAATATTTTGCTTATTGGGAATATTAAATTTAATCTATTAGGTTGAAATCAAAACTAAAATAAAAGCCTAAAGAAAGATTTTTTAATTGTAAAAATTCATTTTAAACTTTAGGTATCGTGTTTTTGGTAGAGGTCCCTAATCTAATTTTGTTTAATATTTAATGTAAACAGTTAATCTTATTTGTAAGTCAATAATCAATACTAATTGGGGTCGAAGGGCCGGTATGCCTGAGTTAAACAGTGGGGAGGTAACTCAATATAGGCAGTGCAACGTGTTCACGTGGTCACCTCATGACCACATGTCTCACCTTTATCGATCAAACTCCCCAGCATACGCCGTCGTCGCGACCCTAGCACCACCGAATAAGGGCTGGGTGCGGAAAGAGAATGTTTCGGTGTTCTTACTTAATCAATGCTCGGATCGAACCATGCGACTGGGGACCGCTTGTGAATACGAATTCCCTCTGAAATTTCTACTAACGTGCTAGCGTTCTTAGGTTACCAGGTTCGGGTCGCCGTTGGAACCGTGACTGGTTAAACTCTCAGAGCATCCAACCGCTGAGCTTGGTCAGCTTTCGTTTGCGGTCCGGCAGATTCATTTGACGGAGCCGACTCAAAGGATGCCGGGCGAATTCCGCAACATGTACAAATAATAAACATTAATATTTCTTAATTTTAATCCCGCTAATCTTGTTCGCAAGATTAGCGATTAAATTAAGAAACGATGCATTTATTGACATTTAACGAGTAAGAACATTTTGGGGGACAACATATATATATATATATATATATATATATATATATATAAAGTGATTTGTACCCAAAAAATGATATATTAGGTTTAAACAACACAGACGTCATACCTTAGACAACACTTTTTCAAAGGTATTCGTTGGCGATTTACTTTTATTGAATGTGTCATCATTTGTATTCCCAATCGGCAACGAATACCTTTGAAAAAGTGTTGGCACAAAGGTACCTAAGGTATGAGATCTGTGTTGTTTAAAGCTATATACATACATACATACACACACACACACACACACACACATATATATATATATATATATATATATATATATATTGTGTGTATTTAGACAGCATTTTTTCATTGATGCATATTTCATTAAATAATATAGACAAGTTTTGTCTATTTTTTTTATGCAAATTCTTTCATATCGTCAGCTTAATAACATTATTATTAAAAGACGAAAGAAAATCACCATATTGATACATGTTTTTTAATCCTATATAAACTTTCGGCTTACATAACCCATCATCAAAGATGACAATTATATTACAATATATTAAACAATACACGGACACGGCAATAGTGAGAGTGTTTGCAATGAAGATTTCCAAACAACGGCATTCTTGTGCATACGAGACGCTGGAAGCGAAAATCGTACCGCGGCTCATGACATCACACATGATCACGCGAGAGTGAAAACGAGAAGTGTTAAGTATGGGAAGTCGTTGGTATAAATCAATGGCTTCTGTTATTAATTATAGGCATTTGAGTATATTTGTGGACTTTTCATAGTTTATTTTGTTCAGGTTAGGTTTCACCTGTTTTAAAAACTATACTTAAATATGAAAACAATAAACAAAAACTATAAATCCTTAAAGCTAAACAAAATTTGTCTATATTATTTAATGAAACATGCATCAATATATATATATATATATGACGTCATATATTAAGAAATGGACAAAGATTAAAGACATTTTTATGTTTAACGTTCTTTTTTTATAGATACAAGTATTTAAGTAAATGCTCTGTTTATAATAAACAGTATTAAATAACATTGACCGGCCTGAATGTCCGAGAAATTTTCATAGAAAATATTCGTCCTTTGACAGGATTCGAACCTGTATCCTATACGGAACCGTCATTTACGCTGACGTGCCATAAGAAATGGACAAAGATTAAATGTCTTGAATCTTTGTCCATTTCTTAATATATGACGTCATTTGTTTACATTTGATACGCCAGAGCAGTTATGAATGTACGAGATTCATGGAAGATTGAAGTTTATAAGCAGTAAATTCGACCTTGTACACCGAACGCTCCTTTGTGGCCGATCGGTAAGGCTCGTCAGCGTAAATGACGGTTCCGTATAGGATACAGGTTCGAATCCTGTCAAAGTTTTTGTGTAGCGATGTAACATGTTTTTATTGTAAGTTGTTAATATTATTTTTCTCTACTGTGTATTGAGCACTTTTAAAAAAGTAAATCCTACGAACTGTGAATTTTTTACCCCATGAGCTCTTTCTCACATTTGAAGATATATATATATATATATATATATATATATATATGTGTGTGTGTGTGTGTGTGTGTGTGTATGTATGTGTGTGTGTGTATGTACAGAAATTACTATATTTCGAAATTAGAAATTAAAATGAAAACTTTTGTTCCATTTTCAAGCGATGTTGCTAACTTCTGAAAAAAATGATTTCCTTTTTGAAGCAAAGTAGTATTATATTTAAGAGATTAAGTAGTATTATATTTAAGAGATTAAGTAGTATTATATTTAAGAGATTAAGTAGTATTATATTTAAGGAAGAGGGATAATGGGGTTTAAAAATTTTAAATGGGTGTTGTCTTTTTTGACGAATCAGGAAACAGGTCTAATCTAAGGTAGGAAAGTTAAAAATGTAGGTTAGAGGTTTGGTGTGGGTTTGTAATTACTGCTTGCCGATACGGGCTCTCGTGTATGAAACCCGTTATCCCGTCTTCCTGTTCTGGAACATATATAAGATACACAAAAATACAGGGAGTTATTTGTATCGAACCGCGGGTTAATTTTGACATTTTTATTTCATTTTTTTATTCATTCTTTTATTTATTTTTTTCAAATACATTGGGGTTGTCTTAAAGGGGATTCAAATGCTGAAATCATATTTTATACTATTAAAATGGTCTCGCTTAATTCTGGTTAATAACAATAGAATTATAAGGTATGTTTTGCTTTTTTATTATAAGTAATTGTGTAGCGCGCATCACCACAATTATTTATCTTAGACTGGGAATGACGTGGAAAAGGACAAGCAAAGAGGCTGAAGGTTACCAAACATGTAGCGGTCACAATGCAATTTATATTTGACGTAAAATAGCACATAGTATAAAATACAAGACAGAACGTAATGGTTCAAAACATAACAATTGAATTTATTAGGGTTTTGGTGTACATGCATATAAGCTGAAGGTTTGATAGAGTTATGACTCTTAGATTTGGAAATATTTGTACCGGAGCTCATAAAGTAATTATTAAACTGAAGTTTTAGAAGAATAAAGTTCCTGTTGCATGTTAGGAAATGTGAATTGGTAAAGTTGGTAAAAGTTCAGAAGAGTTAAGAGTCCGTACTTGCGTGAATTGGTAATGTTCTTTAACGTCTGACCGCACGGTCAAGACGGGAGCTGTTGAAGATTACATCTTGGCAGCAAGGAATAAGATGAATGAAGAGAAAACAGAGAGAGAGAAAGAGAGAGAGAGAGAGACAGACAGACAGACAGACAGACAGACAGAGACAGAGACAGAGACAGAGAGAGCTTACACGGGTTTTATTTATATAAGGTGGTGTATCACGTGACTGGCTCAAACTTTAGTGAACGGGAAATTTAATTCCCCGCGTGCAGGATATCTGATTGGTCGGAATTGACCAATCAGCGAGCTAGTTTTGAGGAGATTAACCAATGAATATTTGTCGCATGATTTGTATGTATGATGGTGATGATAATTACCACAATTGTACGATTGTATGACTTTATTATAAGTAACTGTATAATGACTTTATTATATAACTGGTTGTTTTTTTTTTCTAGCGGCATGTCAAGCTGTATGATGCCGAAATCTAAATATATTGTACGTAATTTTAATTTTATTTTTAGGGAGGTAATAATGGTTTTAGTGATATTAATTAATGAACCCCTAAGACTGTGATCACATTGCACAGCATATATCCTTCCGAAAGGAAGGAATCTTTCTCAACAAACCTAACCGGAATTAAAATTCGGGACTTCGATTTCCAATTCCAAACCATTATCCATTACACCACCCGCACATCCAAGATTACAGCATCTGGCATTCCTAAGCAGTCACCCATCTAGGTACTGACCAGGATTGACGTTGCTTAACTTCGGTGATTTCAAAGTTTAAAAGCGTTTTCTTCTAATAGCATTCGACTGATACAATTATTTACGTGTAAGAGACCCGACTGTAATTGGAACTCGGCTCTCCGATTAACAATTCCGTGCCTTTAACCATAACACCACCCACACATCCAAGCTTACAGCACCTGGTATCCCCAAACAGTCACCCATCTATGTACTGAACAGGATCGACGTTGCTTAACATCAGTGACCGTACGGGAACCCGTGTTTCAACGTGATGTGGACGTAAACCAGATAGATAGATGTGAACAAATGTAGATAGATAGATAGATAGATAGATAGATAGATAGATAGATGTGAACAGACTAACATGCAGACAAACAGATAGATAGATAGATGTGAACAAATGTAGACAAATAGATAGATAGATGTGAACAAATGTAGACAAATAGATAGATAGATAGATGTGAACAGACTATCATACAGACAGACAGACATAGAGACAGACAGACAGACAGACAGACAGATAGATAGATAGATAAACGGCCTTAGATAGATAGATAGATAGATAGATAGATAGATCACACTAAGACAGGGTGGGGGATGAGAGGCGTATTCATGCCCTTCCCTCGGGTATTTGTGTGTAAGTGAATATAACGAACCCAACGTGAATTAGAACCCGGGATGTCCGATTAAAAATTCCGATTCATTATTTATTAAACAACCCGCACATCCAACCTTACAGCACGTGGTATTCCATAAAATTCACCCATCTAGGTACTGACCAGCATCGACGTCGCTTAACTTCGGTGATCGTACGGGAACCAATGTTTCAACGTGATGCGGTCGTAAGATTATATCATATAAACTAGTTGTATTAGATTTAAATGACAAAGTGCATTGATTGGTTCAGGTTAACGTGTTGCTTTTTTTCACTGTTTTAAAATTATATACAGAATATCAGTAACTAAATTTGCGTCCAGGTTCCTACAACATTTCACCATTCTTGACAGATCTTCTGTTATTATAACGTGGAATATTTCATAAGAAAAAACGGATAGAAACAAAAAGAATGAAAAATGAAATCAAGGTTTAATTAGAAACCAAAAAAAAAAAAAAAAAAATATATATATATATATATATATATATATATATATATATATATATATATATATAAAAACAGATGTTTTTTAATTTTGAAATTTAAAATTCCCAGCATCCCTCGTTCGTGCACATGTATAATGTTGTGACGTCGGAGTTGGCAAGACACAACACTTAATTCGACAGAGTCAGTCGTGATAATAATATTCAATACTCAGCTTGACGAGTCACGGGAATAGCATTATCATCTTTCTCCTAGACTTTTAGATCCACCTAAGTCACATCGGGGGTGGTTTCTTATGGAGCCCTCCCCTGGTTAGGATAGACCCTTTTTTGTGTACCTAGTTAATGAGGGTAAATGTCGTTCCCGGCCTGTTCCTGGCTCCCTCTTTGGTTATGGTCCATGTCGAGATTCCCAACCTCTTCGGTTTGTTTTTGACCCCTTTTTTTCATCACGACTGGGTCAGCTTTTTGTTGTAATGAAATGTCCCCACTATTTGCCTATTGGACCTATATACTGACTATATCAGTAGCTATATATAGGGAAAATTTGCCACCCTATTTTTCTTTCATAGTATTCTAATTTACTAAACCTCTCTTTAAATTAAATATTAAAATTTACTGTTCCTTCAAATCGAAAAGACCACCTTTGTCTGTTTGCAAGCATGTCAATGATATCTATAACGGTTCACTATGTAAACAAATTTCTGTTTCAAATGAACTATATTTAATAACAATATTTTTAAACAAAAAAAATTATAAAAAATCATTTTTTCTAACTCAATATAATTTAAATTAAAAAATTCCTTTTTTTCAAAATCATTTGAGCATAAAAATTTATTCCATGAACAAAAGATATTAAATAAAACAAATCAACTAAGATAAAATAATTGATTTAAAACAATTATAATAAAAATAAAAAATAAATTAAATAAAATGAATTATCCATATATAACTTTAAAGATAAAGTAAATTATTAAGAAAACCAAACCATTAATATATATATATATATATATATATATATATATATATATATATATATATATATATATATATATATATATATATATATATATATATAGAGAGAGAGAGAGAGATATATATAGATAGATAGATAGATTTATTTTATAGTTAAACCTAGAGAGCCAGAAAAACCTACCAAACAATTTCACTAGGTTTGCTCTAAAAAACTGCATTGAGCACTTTATTTTAGTTATTTTGCTTACTCGTATCGGTTTTTTTTTTGGACTTTGGACTTGCATGCTAGACGATTATTTTCGGCTAACGTACATGTTCTTTTCTTTTTATACCTTTTCCCCCTTGATTATAAGATTATTACTACTATATATATATATATATATATATATATATATATATATATATATATATATATATATATAATTAATTTAAATAGAAATTGACCACTTTAAGGCTCCATTTGTAATAATTTATTTCACCAGACAATTTTATTTTTTTTTTTATTTTCAGACTTCACTTTCAAAAGTTGAAAATATATATATATATATATATATATATATATATATATATATATATATATATATATATATATATATAGTACAGGTAATCGATCCGTTGGTATATAATTCAGGTGGATCCTAGTAATATTAATTATTAAAACTGAACCTTCATACAGCTCGATGTTTTATTTTAACAGAGCATATGTATGTTTTTACAACAAAAACAATACAAAAAGAAAAAAAATTACCTCAACATAGAGATAGTCTACTTCAAGCCGTTCTGTACCTAGTTATCATCAGTGTCTGTTTCGGAGCATCGTTTTAAATTCATTTTCAATGTCAGTCCTCCTCTGGTAGACGTCTTGTTAATGAAAGTGGGTTTGTGTTAGCGATTGGTCGGGGCGTAAGGTATCTTATCCCGGGGAAGCGGTCTGGGGTTGGAGTTTATTTATGGCCAGGACTTATTGTTTGTGGTTTAATATCAGTTCCTACTATGTGGTGTTTCTTATAAAAGCCCCGGTGAATGTTTTTTTTTTCTGGAATTCACAGTAAATAGTTTTTGTAATACAGGTGTCCAATATTATTAATAAGCGATGAGGGATTTAAACTTAAATCCGTTAAGATTAATGTAAATTAGTTGAGTTATAGATTTATAGATTGTGGGTAATATCAGAGCATCCAATGGAATAAATCATGCTGTCAACACACTTATATGTATACATGTCTTCATACATACATATATGTACATTTACACGTTCATACATATATGCCACTATACGCACACATACACCACCAAATATATGCACATGTATTCTTGTGTAATTTGGAATTTATTTCTATGTTTACATTTCGTGATTTGTTCTCTCCGTTGATTTAATAGTTTGCATTGATCTTTATATTTTATTATCCTGATTTTTTTCTTCTAAACATAGCTTGCACCTATCACTAAAACTATTGGGGGTGTTCGCGAAATCTAGAATTTTCCAATTTATTTGAGGATTCAGACCTTTTTTCCTTCAATTCCCCAAATTTTTTTGAAAGGGCTGTTTGGTGTTTTAATTTTGGATCGGTGAATGAATGACTCTGTGTATTGATTCTCTTTTTAAATTCTCCTGCAGAAATGCCGATGTAAATATGGTTTGTCGTATTTTCTTTAGGGGTAATGAGTAAAGGGTAATATATATATATATATATATATATATATATATATATATATCAAACACACAGGTCAAACACAGGTCAAACATGGATCGGAAAATGAACAATTAGGAAAAATTTATCAGTCTCAGTTTTATTAAAGTTTCATCAAAGAATGAGATCCATATTTTATTCTCTGGTGAATATTTAATAAAAGTGAAACATGTCAGATTGATAAACCTTTTCTATCCTATTCGTTCTTTTATCCTATCATCATACATATATATATATATATATATATATATATATATATATATATATATATATATATATATTTAAGACATTTTATATTTATACATTCTTTTTTTAGATACAAATATTTAAGTAAATGGTCTGTTTATAATAAACAGTATTAAATAACATTTACCGGCCTGAATGTTCGAGAATTTTTCACAGAAAATATTCGTCCTCTAACAGGAATCGAACCTGCATCCTATACGGAACCGTCATATAGTTTAAAGACAGTAAAATCGACCTTGCTAGCCGAACGCTCCTCTGTGGCAGAAACGGTTAAGGGATGTCAGGTTATATGACGGTTCCGTATAGGATACAGGTTCGATTCATGTCGAAAGACGAATATTTTCTATGAAAATTGTTTGGATATTCAGGCCGGTAAATGTTGTTTAATACTATTTAATATAAACAGAGCATTTACTTAAATATTTGTATCTATAAAAAAGAATGTATAAACATAAAATGTCTTAAAATAATTGTCAAAAGAAATTGTCCATTTCATAATATATATATATATATATATATATATATATATATATATATATATATATATATATATATATATATATATATATCCAGCTGGATGTATTCCATAATTGCTGTCTGCGTACCATCAAATGAGTTAGCCTTCAAGTCAGGACATCCAATGTAAACATGTTTCACAGGCATAATATTGGAGGAATCATACTTTCCCAATACAGTCTCAGATGCTGTGGACTGCCTATGTCTTGAGAATGTCTGATGACAGGATACCCAAAATCCTAATGTACAGCCAGTTAGATCAAGGCTACAGGAATGTAGGACGCCCATGGCTTAGATACAAAGACAAGCTGAAGAGTAACTTGTCAGGTTTCAATATACCTTATAACACCCTCGAGCGCTTAGTCTTGGGCGGGTAGAATGAAACCAATTTTTTTAATGCAATTGAGCAGTTTTCAATCTGCTGTTCTGAATCGTCTTCAAATTTCGAATAAGATCTGAAAGGTCAAAAATCTAAGAGTGACCTCATCCCACAATCCTCACTCTTGCTCCATATGCGGCCTCCTTTGCAAATCACTAGCGGATCCTAAGTGCCATTTAAGATTATCGCACAAACGACATTGTCTAAATGTACAATATGTATTCATTTACATCAACTTCTATTTAACGACTGTTGCTGCCATTGATTTCAAATCTACGAGTCATGACCCATTTATAAAAAAATAATTTCTAAATTTTTGCTTCTTCACTTAGCTTAAATTTGACGTAGGTCATACTCGATTAGTTGATCTGAGTAAAGCCCACAAACCTTATAACCAAACCTCACTTTTTTCTTTTTTCGCAAAAAGAGGATCTATTTTGGCTTTTAAATCTGAACAAATCATTCACTTGCCAGTAATTTACAATCGCCTGATGAGATGCGTTGATATGTATTGAAACACGACTGCAATTGTGTAGCGATTTTGGCATGTTTTTCGGTGTAATATCCTAAAATGAATATATATATATATATATATATATATATTTTATCCAGCCTCAAGAGTCATGCCCGTCATAATAGATCAGGCAGTAAGCATCATTCGACTGCGTGAAACACGAAAGCGAAATTAAACACCTAACACTGTTTCTGCTGTACTTGCATGCAATACATTCTCCTGTAATGTTTGTGGTCTTTTTTGCAATTCTCGAGCTGGCCTTAAAAGTAATGCCCGTCAGTAGGTGTTCGTCGGAACCTCATACCTCGAACTCGACGGAAGAATCCATCATATATATATATATATATATATATATATATATATATATATAAAAATATATATAAAATGCTTAAAGTGGATACTAATTTACTCGTTTAACCTTTAGTG